AAGGAAAGCCAGAGTGTGCTGTAGTACCTTGTATTTGCCCAGGACAGGGTGACGGCCTCCTGTGATCAACATATCCTCTCCTCGCTCCAGGACACAGCGGACTGCACAATTGGTCCTACAATGAAATTTAAAATCTTAATAAAGACAAAAAAGACTTTTCCAAGCTTTTTTCTTATAATTTCATTTCAATATATTTGTCTCATTTTCATTGTTGACTTTTCACTGATAATTATTGTTTTGTCTGAAAAGGATTTTCTGATTCTCTATGTTGTTTTTGAGTCCATTGTGATTTACTTCCATGCAGCCACTGCGGTGATACAAGCCAGAATGATGGCTTTATCGATTTTCCCGCCGAATGCTCCACCGATCCGTTTCACGTGACAGGTGACTCTGTTGGATGGGATGTTGAGTGTTTCTGCAATTGCGGCCTGCAGTCAGGAAAGATATTCAAAAGCAAAAACTATCAGTGAGCAAAAAGGGTTTTAGATGTTGTTTGATATCAGTGAGTCTAAGAAATGGGTTTTTGTTAGCGTTAAATTGAGTTTTGTCTGTTTTAATATTGCCCAAGCTGGATTCATTTTCTTTAATGAACTGAATTACACACTGATCTCAGAGGGTACTGGGACAGTCAGCTTGACGTGGTTGTTACAGTCCGTATTCAAACACTGACAGCATCATAGGCTTCAGATCTGCTTACTCCTGCAACATCCTTTATGTGAGGATGGCTCTTCTCCTGGCAGTCAAATCCAAGTCCAACAAGTCATCAATGTTCAAAGCAATGTTCAATGTTCCCTGATCGTGTAGTGGCTAGGATTCAGCGCTTTCACCGCTGCGGCCGGGTTCAGTTCACGGTTAGGGAATGGGACTTTGACACTGAAAATCTAACATAGGGCGACTGTAGTTCAGCGGGTAGAGAGATCCTCTCCCAGCCGGGAGGTTGGAGGTTCAAATAACAGTGCCTGCAGTCCACATGTCAAATTGTCCTTAGGCAAGACACTGAACCCCAAGTTGCCCCCGATGGTTAGAGACATCGGTGTGAATTGGCGCTGCAGATGGCTGTCTCGGTTGTGTACCGGTAACAAATTGCTTGTACATATATTATCGTTATTAACAGGTGAGTAGAAAAACATCCTCAGCATTCAAGATAAAATTTGAACGTCACCAAAACTGGGGTACAAATGTAACACAAACAACAGTGTCCAGGAGTACCTGAGTGCCAGACGGCCACTGAGAGGACACGTAAACATTGAACTCCCTCTCCTCACCGACAGGAACGACCAGCATACTCTGAGTTTCCATGTAGAAATGTTCCTGGCCACCCAGACGAATCTCTCCTGAGGAGAACGATTACACACAACATCAGCTAAAAATTAGCTTTAGTAAAACTAAAGTGTTGTAGCATTTCTATTATGTTCTTTTAATGTCAACAATTTTTACCTTCATAAACCTGATCAACACTATTAAAAGCCTCAGTTATGTTTCCCCTCTCAATCATCCTCTGTGGCTTAAAGAAAGATGACCTTTCAATGGCTTCCTGTCACAGCAAGAGAAGAAACCCAGAGCTGTGATGGTCAAGGAAAATGAAAATTACACTTTTTACTGTAGTCTTTACTTTACTTTAGAACTTGATTTTAAATTATTAAGTAGTCAAAGACACTGATACAGAAGGAAATGTTTACAAAATGTTTACAAGAGAAGATCTGACACAAGGATAGAGGCAAAGATTCACTGACTAACTGTGATAGAGATTCAGTGAATTTTGCTGCTGTGCTGGATGTCTGTGACAGTAACATCTGAGCTAAATATCTCAGACCTCTACAGTAAAAACAGGGTCCGGCAGATCTTCGTAGCTGATCTTTATGGCTGACACTCCTCGTCTGGCATGCGCCCTCGTATCAGCAACCACTGCACATACTAGTTGACCAATGCAGGACACCTGTAGAGGAACAGTGAATGAGCTTACTGAACATGATGATCACAGCAGCTTGTTGTGAAGCTTAATTCTTTAAGTTAATGCTGGTGACAAGAACATACTTTTTAGCAGAGCCTCGAAACTGAAGGACTTTTCCATAACTAAGAAGGAATGAGCAGCAATAGAAATATTACTTCTACAGCATAAAATGAAATGTAATATGACACAGAGTGGATAATGCTGCATATAAAGAAACATTTTGTGCAATATATTCGCTGAAATATTTGCAATAAATTGCGAAATACAGTTGTGTCGTGCTACAAATACTGGTTGACAGTGCAGGACACTGTTGCATGGTAAGATAATTTAGTTATAGATTTTGTCAAATTCCCTGTGGGAATCCTGGTGTCTCTTAGTCCCAAATTCCACACACACTCTACCTCGGTCTCAGAAAGAAAGTCCTCTTGACTGTCACGGTATACCGTATGGAATTTCTTCCCAGGAATATCTTTGGCTCTGATGACATCGACAACACCAGGAAGCTGCAGAGCTCCACTCACATCCAGGCTCCTGTTGGACCAAAGACGCGTTTAAAGCATAACGTAGAGATTTACATTAGAACTGGTTATTGCAAAACTGGAAACTCCTGAAATCGTTTCTCTGTCTGCTTACGTGATCTTAGCGTGTGCTCGAGAGCTGGTGACCAGCGCCAGGAAGAGCTCCCCCTCTGTTCTGGGGATGTCATCACAGTAGACAGCTTCACCTGTTGCCTGGCTGATGGCAGAGCGATGCATGATGGGACGCCCAACTGGGTCCTGTTTGCTCTGGTCCTTTGACACGTGCTGCAAAAGAAAGAGCAGCTGTCATAATCATAATCCATCTCTTCTGTAATACACACAAAAATAAGTTTTTAATGTGTTTTTATTTAAGATATGGGGGATCATCTGACCGAGAACTCCTGCAGGCTGGGTTGGAACTCTCTGGGTAAAGGCTGGATCTGCATCCTCTCAGGAACCTCATCTGTAATCACATTCTATAAAAAGAGATTCCCTAGAATCTTTATTCTAGTCATGTTAAATGGCATTGAAAGAGGTAAAAATTTACATCTGAGGCAAGGAGATGACCTGTTATGATACCTTTATATAATATCCTACCATTTCTCTGAGCTTCTGAAAGACCTCCAGGTTAAATCTGAAGAGGAAGCTGAGGGCCAGAGACTGCCGAAACTCCACCTTTCCTCCAGGAGCAGAAGGAGGGAGGGCTAACTCGTCCAGAAGGATGTCATAAGCCTGGCTGAGGGTGTCATCATCCCATGGCCTGAAAGTGTTCATGTCAGTGGATTGTATCTGGTTCTTTTATATTTTTCAGCCATGTTGAAATAGAATGTGCATTCTGGTTCATAACAGTTAGAGCACAGAGTATGGAAAAAAATATAAATGAGGAGGAAAGAATGAAAAAGCAAAGCAGGCAGGAAGAAAAGTAGGAGCACGTGAGGGTCGTAGGGAGGAAGACATAAGCAGGTGTGAAGAAGAAGAAAGAAAACAGTTAGGACAAAAATAATACACTTCGGCAGAAAGGTCAGAGATAACAGACGCAGGAACAGAAAGAAACAGGAAACAAATAAGAAAGAAAGGAAGCCATATTATTGTAAGAGGAGGAAAAGAAATTAGATCAAAATAGAATGAAACAGAAGACGTTTCTACTTTTTCAGATAGCTAATCCTCTTCTCATCAAAAACTAAAAAAGCATAAAGTGTGGGCTAAAATATCCTACATCCCACTCTGACCTGGCAGTGATAGCTGCACAGGTTTTGGCAGCACTGACTGTGGTGGGTCCCATTCCCCCGTAGTAAAGACTGACATCCTGCACTACTCTGGATCCCTCAGAGAAAAACACCCTCATGCCGGTCGTCACAGTGGCAAAAGAGTTCTCCTTCCTCGGAGCCTGGCGGTAAGCTCGAACAAACTCCCCCTGCAGAACAAACAGGGCATTATACTACACTGTTACATGGTACAGTAGAATGTGAGGCAACCATTCGGAATCACCTGCATTTATGTTTACATTTGTCTTAAAACATGGTCAGACCTTCATCTAAGCTACAATACAATCAGTCAGGTAACTAATAGCATACAAATCATTGTAGTGTCCTTGTCCATACAGAATGTACATCAAACACTCACAGTGTGGGTTGGACGCCAGGAGTCAGCAAATATGGAGTCCAGTCTCCAGTTTGATTTCACTAGAGCTGCTTTGACAAAAATAAAAACACGGGGTGCAAAGGAAACTTCATAAAGAATATTTGTACTTGTCTGGAAAAGGGTAGGAAGATAGAGACTGCAATCTCTTCTGGTTTCAGGATGGTTTTTCCAAAGCTCACGAAGAAGTCCTGATTCAAAGGGACCTCTCGTCTTCCTCCTGGTGGGTTCAGACATACACTGCTTAGATAGACAGACAGATATCTGAGTCTACATTTTTCTACTGTCTAAACAGCAACAATTGCTGTAAAAGTTGTCCCAAGGTCCCTGAACTGTCAAACTATGTCTATAAAACTACGAAGTACTAATGGAAAATAAAGTAGTGGCAGCTCACCACTGAAAATGACGCTGACTTTGCAGTTCGCAGCAGCCAAGACAGGGTTCAGGTCAGAATTGGGGTTTGCACTCATGATGTTGCCTCCAAGAGTCTAAACATGCAACAGCAAGAATATACACAATAGATAAATTCACACAATTTTACTTGTAAGAGTTAATTGAAATTCTAATAAACCGTTGCTTATTTATTGAAGAACAAATTGTCATTAAAATTAAATGTGCTCACATTAACACAGGATGTTGTCTGTAGTTAGCAGCTGGTGGTAAATGGAAGGAACCTACATACTTTGTTTTTTATAATCACAAGATATACCTGAAAGTAGTTTCATTAATTATTATTAACCTTATTTAATACAAAAGTTCTCTGATGACACCGCTATTGTTGGATGTGTATCTGGGGGGAACGAGTGGGAATACAGGGGGGTTGTTACTGACTTTGTGGAGTGGTGTGAGAAAAATCACCTGGTCCTCAACACCAGCAAGACAAAAGAGGTGGTGACTGACCCCCGGCGGAAATCACCAGTACTCACGCCGATGAGTTTTCAGGGCTCAGATATTGAGATTGTGGACACCTTTAAATACCTGGATGTCCACCGCAACAACAAAATGGATTGGACTGAAAACACTGATGCCCTGTACAGGAAGGGCCAGAGCCGCTCCACTTGTTGAGGAGACTGAGGTCCTTTGGTGTGTGCGGGGCTTCGGACTTTTTATGGTACTGTAGTGGCATCTGCAGTTTTTTACGCTGTTGTGGGTTGGACAGGAGGTAACACGGACAGAAAGAGACTTAACAGGCTGGTTAAGAGAGCTGGTCAAGTCTGTCCTGGACTGCCCTCTGGATTCCATCGAGGAGGTGGTGGACAGAAGGATGCTGGTAAAACTAACATCCATCATGCACAACCCCTCCCATCCCCTGCACCATACAGTGGAGGCTCTGAGCAGTTCCTTTAGCACGAGACTGTTACATCCCCAGTGCAAGAAGGAGCGTTACCGTAGGTCATTCCTCCCCACAGACTGTACAATACATCACTGCAGTGATAAGCTAGGTGAAATTATGAAGGACTATGCATTAGTCAACTGAGGTGCAATGCTCAAACCCTGGGGGTAAAATGTATTGCAAATATGCACATGTGTAAAATCTTGTTCTTGATTTCTCTTGAATACTTTATATTGTCTTGTTTTAGGTATTTTTGAATAGTTTTTCAGAGATCCTCATGGCTGAAATACAGGTTTTCCCCCATTGTGGGATTAATTATGGGAACCATATTCTTGTCCTTGATTTCTTGAATACTATATTTGGTTTTGTTCTCAGGGATTAATTGTGGGAGGATCATTATTATTCACACGGCAACATTACGGATCTGCTCGCTCCCCAGGCTCCTGAGCTGTTGGATCAAGGCCTTGAACAGTTCGGTCTTCTCCTCTGGGAACTGAGAAAGCAGCTTCTCCAACACAGACCGAACCTCTGAGAGACTGCAGCCTGCTCCGACCCAAACACCTGCAGAGAAGCAAGGATGTTAACCACCAAAGCTGTGAGTTTGGCGACACATTTTGCTTCTTTTAATACATGACCGATGAGTTTGATATATTTAAAACACTGCAGAGCTGTTTTAAAAATCAGGTCTGTTTAAAGGTCTGCACTACAAAGTCACATCAGGAAGTAAACAGCAAAGGTACAGGAGGGCACCCACCCTGTGGTGTCTGAGTGACCTCAAACAGCTCCACAATTCTGGCTGGAGATATAACCAACGGATGCAAGACACCTTTGAACTTTATATCTGGACCTTCAGCACAAAGCAACGAGACCGGTTAATTGGGTCAGCAAGGTTTGGGGAATATGACAAAAATATATCGACAGCTTGTAATCATTACAAATAAGTTTAGCTAAAGTTCATCAATCAACATCTCAACAACAGACTGGATCAAATCTATACAAGCAGGAGCAGTCTGCTAACTGAGAACTACTAAACTCATTGTTCTTCTTCATGAGGTAACTTTGGCCTGTTTCTCTATGATAAAGTTCATTTGGAAAAGCAGAGACTAGTTTTACTGGTCACCAATGTTAGTGTTCCCCATGACCAGCGGAGCTGTTGGGTTGCTGCTCTTCATCTGGACCAGCTCGTCCAGCAAGGTGGGGGACACCCAGGTCATCCTCTCTCCCTGAAAGGTGAGTGTTTGTGGGCTCACCGTCTCTGCCATCCGCTGAGAGGAAAGTCACATTTCTGTTAGACTTAATCAATAATTTATCGACTTTAGACTTGAGATATGTGTTTAACATTAGTTTAATGCTGCTGACAATTCAACACTGCTTACACAACTTATAAAATGTCAATACAGTAGCTAAAATAGAGCTTTGTTAGAGAGCTGAAATGTGTTGATTCAGATTCATTTCCCGAGGATTCTGATTCTGAGATTATAGTAGCCACAAGTAAATTAAGTTGTGGTTGTGTGAAACATCTGGTGACTTACCATTAGTTCTGGAGGGAAGATCAGCTCCTGTGTTGGGTCCAGTGGCAGAAAGCCTTCCTTGTCAAACAACTGTGGCTTTTCCTGAAGGATGGCATGAGACAACAAGCACTGAAATGGGATTTGTCACAGCATAAAAGACAAAAGACAAAGCCAGAAGGGAAGAAATGGAAATTAGAAGCTGAAAAAGCAAAAGTCAGGGGCAGCTATATCAGTCTCACTGCATTTTGAATCTGAGAGGGAAACAAAAAAAACAAAGAGAAATGACTGGAATGAGAAAAGGAAAATAGGGGAAATGAGAGTAAAAGAAAAACAAGAAGTGTATTACTTGAACTCACACTCTCTGGTTCATCAGTGTTTTCATTTCCACTGGGGCAACAGCTCCCAACTCCACTGGCTTGGCAGCAGTTGGTTTCCTGTTGAGATTGTTTATATGGTGTCACATACATGTGGGTCACACGCTGCATGCAGCAAACAGAAATACAGAGTTCTAATGGGCCAGTCAGATGTATAGTATGTGGTATTGTATGGGGTTACTTTGTACAGCTTGGTGTCATCTGCATGTGATTTAATAAAGGTAAACAGTGGAGGCTTGTGCAACACAGCACTGCATGCTCTCGGGGGGTTTCGCAAATCAAAGGCTGTAATATGTGTCATGCCTTTGTCTGGCTGCAGGAATATAAAGCAGCTGTGGACAAACAACACACATTTCTTTGCTTTAAAGAAATTAAATTCATTTTTATGTCAATGTAATTGCCTCTTCTGGCTGGGCCGTCATTTAAGCATTATTCTGTCATTACTGCACATTAAATGGTCTTATACTTGTATAGCGCTTTTCTACGCTTTACAGCACACTCAAAGCACTTTCACACTACTTGGCCATTCACCCATTCGCACAAACACACACTCACACATTCACACACCAGTGTTATCACCGGGAGCAACTGGGGGTTCAGTGTCTTGCTCAAGGACACTTCGACATGTTGACTGGACAAGCCGGGAATCAAACCGCTAATCCTCCGGTTAGGAAACGAGCCACTCTACGTCCTAAGTCACAGCCGCCCACATTAATAGACTTAGCTTACGGTACTCTTGTTGATGAAATCACCAAAATGGCAGCAGATCGATGCTTCACCAGAAACAGACATCTCAGCAGAAAGACAATATCAACTGATTGTTCTCCTCCCACCTGTGCACCATATACTCTGCAACAGGTCTTTGCACGCCAAGTGACAAAACGGCCCTAAGTTATAGTCAGTCATAATGCTGTTGACATTATCACTGCTGTGAATGATACAACGTTTACAGGCAGCAGAGCTCAGCTTTGTACCTGACAGAAGGTCCTGCAGCCGTCAACAATGGGTCGATATCCAGTACATCGACACAAGTTACCTGAAAAGAAATGACACACAGTGAGGACTGGGCTGGGTGCATATCAGGTTTATGTGCTTGTATTTCAGGGTACAATACTGTGAAATCACTTGGCATGTTCCCTTGTATAGGAATAACTGGATTACACCTGGAATACTAGACTGCAAATAAAAGCTTTTAGAGGTGGCGGGTCGAGATGTAGTCAGACACATGGACAACAGCATATGCACTACAATTTCTCAGTGTTACAAACAACTAACATTGCAGATTTATGGACTATAAATGTGAAAAACCAAAGCAAACCTACCAGCCAGAGCCTGGGTGATGTCCTCCATGGTGGGCTGTGGTTTATTCCTTAGCAGAGTGTACATGGACATCACCATCCCTGGAGTGCAGAAGCCACACTGGGAGCCATGAGCTTTCGCTATTCGCTCCTGCAAATACACCATGCACAGCCCCTTTCACAGCAATATGTACATAGCAGCTTTGTTTCCACATTTATTAATTTTTTTGCATCAGACAGGAAGGTTGTGTAGGGTCTATCATCTGGAAAGTTGTCTCATACATTCTATGTGCACTTGTGCTCCTACGCCGCTACAGGACGGTGAAGGAATGAAACAGATGTTGTACTGATTTACTGCCAGGATGGAAAATTACCATCACGCACCACAAAAAGATTGTATTAACTCTTAGCTGCGGTTTCCAAACCCCTCGCTTTCTAAAAATGTATTTAGTTAATAAAACTGTTGAGTGTTTGGCATTTTTGAATTTTACCAACCACGTTCACGATGAAATCCAGAAATCAACATCAGTCATCTTGTCCAAACTAACTATACTCTTGCAAATAATAAATGGTGTTTTATCATCTTTATTCATTCCTCAGTCAGTGAAACCAGATTTGTGACAAAAAAAGAGAGGGGCACTCTACTCAGCGAGCACATTATGACTAAGGCTCCCAGTGCTGACCTGCACAGGGTGGATTCTGGTCTTGGTGCTGCCAATGCCCTCCACCGTGGTGACTGCAGCTCCGTGAAGCTGACAGATGGGCAGGAGGCAGGCGTTGGCTGAGTAATGTCTGACAGGACAGTGAAGGAAATTGTGTCACATCTGAGATGTTCAGGTCTACTTCTGTCTCTGTCCCTCTGCTGCTTCTACCACAGCTTCTAGTGTTTCTCAGATACTGCTACTAGTTTTACTACTAATGTAACTGTAACTGCTTTTGCTACTACCACTATTGCTTCTATTGTTGCTGATGACTGTACTCGTAGTTCTGCTCTTCAGTGTTAATCGCCGTCCTAAACTATTGTTGCTACTGCCTTTGCAACTACTACTACTGTTACTGCAGTGACAGTTTGTTTTTATCAGTGAGTTTTGTGGTAGTAGTGCTACAAATTCTAGTACTAAGTATTGCTACAACCACTACTACTTCTAATGGTCCTAAATAAATTGCTTAGCCCATCACAAAGGTCATTTACATTAATTCAGTTTAATATACCCATGGAAATGGAGATGAAGTGGCTGTTCGATGATCCTAATCAGATATAATGATCCTTTAACCTCTTTTTTTTTTAGCTGTTTACCCTTTGCATACACCAGGACCTACTGCCATGCTGTGCAACCTGCTGGATACCGTCCTGCTGTGATTACAGGTTATTATACTAATGCTATTACTATAATATAGATATTAGAAACACTGAGAATACTATTTTCCATCTATATGTTACAGATGCAGATATGATTTAGCAGTACATTGCAGGTGGTTTCTCATATATGTGAAGACATGATATACAAAAAGCAGCTCTAAAAAGCTTCAAAACAACTCCTCCTCTTCCTGTTTTGCCAGATTCTGTCCAGCATCTGTTTTACATTTCTGTGTGCTTGTGCTCCTCCTCCGCTACAGGACAGAGAAGAAATGAAACAGATGTTGTACTGGTTTACTGCCAGGATGGAAAATTACCATCACGCACCACAAAAAGATTGTATTAACTCTTAGCTGTGGTTTCCAAACCCCTTGTTTTCTAAAAATTTTATTTAGTTAATAAAAAGGTTAAGTGTTTGGCATTTTTTAATTTTACCAACCATGTTCACAGGTGGACAAAGGACTGTCTGAGCTATGTTGCACCCAGTTGTAAGAAACACTGGCTGTGGTGGGAGTTTAAAGGGCCTGCCCATAGGCAGGAAACCAGGACAATTTTCTGTCAATAATGTCCACGCATGTCATTCCAATCAAACACACCCTTGGTAGTGGTGTGCTATTATTATTTAATATGTGATTGAGTCAATGAATGTCTTATCATTTGTTTTGCTACTTGACCTAATCAGTAACCATCCGTGTCCCTGACCTGTTTAATCTTTCATATTTGCCTGAATTATTAACTTGATTCACATGTCAGAATGTACAATACAAAGCTCCAGGACCATGTTGTTCAATGTAAAGTATACATGATGGTTTTGGTAGCAGGTTGATAGCGCGACACCATGACGGTGCATGCCCCACAGCCTCCTCCGCCGCAGCCATACTTGGTCCCAGTTAACCTCACTGAAGTCACAGTCAAGGAAATACCGAGCAACATGTGTCACACCATCAGCTATGATATGTGAACAATCACAATATTTGATAATAAAACTTTATATGTAAAGGTGGATTTGAAGATTTGAAGGATACGCTTCTCTCTGAGGAAGGATAACAGCATTGTCTCAGGGTCTGCATGGTTCTCGGTTACCTGTTCAGACAAAGAAAAATCATGTAAGATGGCATTCCTCTACTTTAACTGGGCTGCTACTTTTACGAGTGACAAAATGATACTGTCCAGTTTTAAACTGGTGCGTTTCCAGTGGTAACCATGAACAAAATATGTGAAAAAGAGCTGCTATGTTCCTAGTTTGCGTATGTAGAATTTTATGAATATGTGATGCTAAAAACATCCAATGAAACCAGGCTATTAAAACCAGCTACTCATAATCATAACACACCGTATATTCACTGGTTACAAAGCAATGTTTGATATGACAGAAGAACATCACACCATGTAATTTAAGAGCCACAATGGTGGAAGAAGTGTATTTATTTAGTTAGTTTATTAACTGTTATTTATTCCGGGCGGGTCCACTGGGAAACCGCCTCTTTTTTTAGAAACACCCAGTTCAGACGTGCCTGTGGCCACTGTGGTTCAGACTATTACTTAAGAAGTAATACGTCAGTGCAAAAACTGTGTCCTGCATTCAAAATATCACTTAAGTACAAAAGTATTTGCTAATTACTATGTGCAAATACCAACTATTTTAAAATTTCTCTCGTGCTAAATTTGGAGACAACGTTTTATAACGTTGTTTAGTGGCCTGACTCTAGAGTTTCTAAAAGCTTGTATAAGTTTTTTCGTTTAGAAATTGCCACAAATTTCGCGTCATAAAATTACACTTCATGTCACTCTTATCTCGTACACGTTAGTTTTTTCCGTCTCAAAATCTGGGAGGTCAGATTTTCCTTTATTAATCTGACTAGTTTCTGTTTAAGCTACTTCAGTCTTGACACAGAAAAAACGAACTAGCTTCCACAAACTGTTACATTTGTGACATAAATGCTGAACTTGCCTTTTTTCCGTTGATAAAGAAACATAAAATGTCTCCTTCCTTCCCCGCAGACATCTTTCAAAGTACAAAATAAATGTTTTCCTAGTTATTTCAACTCTATTACACTTCCGTTTGCCATGACTTTCAAAATAAGGTGCAAAACAACACTATGTAAATATTGTACTGAAGTGAAGCCCTAAAGTACTGCTAAATACTTTCTACTCCTACCTGTATTCCGTTGCATAACGCAGACCTGTCTGAAGGCGACGCTCCTTGGAGCATTACTTTTATTTCTTCAAAGTCAAAATATTCTGCTTGTGTTTTAAATGCCATATCGCTTCACTTCCTGTCCCACGGTGCTGTTTGACAACTTGGATGCATCTCTGTCTGTGCAGCAGTAGAAACGCCCATCTTATCTAACTTGTGAACTTTAACAGATCCTACAGGCCTAACTTTACAAATGATTTACAAAATATTCTCAGGCCACATTTACAACATTCTGCAGCTCTGATTTTGTAACAACAGTAAGAATATCACAGAAATACTCCGAACTGCAGAGCTCATGCTGGTTTTTATTTCCATATCCATACAGCTACAATGATTGAAGGGGGTAAACTTTGACTTCAACACCCATTAATCAAAAAGCCACATCATTATTCATGTTCTTTATCAGCTAGCAAAGAATAAAAAATGTCACACATATCATAATGGAGAATATGAATAAAAAACCATGGTTATAAATATTTTTAAATGACCTAATGTGAAAATAATCTTCACGCTGAATTTTTCATTTTAAGGTGGAGAGTAGTGCCACAGGAGGGAGCTACAGGCCAAGATAACACAGAGGGTACAACATCAGGACAGGGAAGAAGAAATCCAGCCTGCCCAAGTTAAAATAATATTAAAAATCAAAACTTGTAGGCAGAAGCAGCAATATAAGCACTTTTTTTTTTAATCTTTGTGTGACTTTGATTTGAAAGTGCGTAATAAATTAGTAGCTGCAGTAAAGGCCTAGAGGACTGAAAGTTCAACCTTCTTTTTATTTATCTGACAAAATAAAACATATACAAGGCCACAGCTTGTTGTCCTCCTTTAAGTCCTCTTTAGCAGACATGCACATGCACGTTTGCATTCTGACTGTTGATTACTGTCATATCTAAAATCACAGTTTGTGCTCTTAGCCATCTTTTTCCCAGGCCAAATTGAATTCATGAAGATATTTTTGTGATGCTTACCACAAAGTTATTCCAATATGCACAAATATTTACAGAAAATATATTTGGATTTGACTGGAATAAAACTGTGAGATAGAGTTTAGAACATCCAAACTATTTGGCCACATTTATTGCACAAGCAGGAAGTGAGGGGTAGAAATGTACTCAGGGTTTTGACCACACACCAACACGTCACCTCAGTGAGAACTCGAAGTGTGGGAAAGTCCTGAAGAAAAGGCTCAGCCACCCCTGTCCCAGCCGGATCTCCTGGGAGTTTATTTACTCGGCTTTTGTATCAGGTTCAACGTGAATGGCTCAACCTTTTCTCAGTGGATTGAGTTTCTTTAGCTCATTACACCAGGTATGATTCCTGAGGACAAAGACAACATGTCTTACTTTACAGTTTAGCTTGTGTTTTTCCCTCTGTGCTTCTCAAGGACCCATGATTTTGGGAAACTGTTCAGTTTTATTTCTGCAAGTTGTGACCTCCAACCTCATGTACACATTCCTCCTCTGTGGATGTCAGACACATCCAGTCTATTTACACAAATCACAGCATGTTTGGTTGAGATTTACAGCTAAAGACAGCAGACAGGTCAAAGGGTTCCTCACAGGCTAATGCAGTTCAAACAGGTTCCAAGTCAGTCAGTCCTGCTGTGGATTTGCAGGGTTGTGGAGGTCAAAGCCAACAGCTGCAGTGAAAATGAAGACTGGTTAGACTCTAATATGTGGCTGCCTGATACTTTGATGGAAAGTATTTATTTATTCATTGCTTAATTTCTGTTGTGAAGCAAAGATCTCTTGGTTAGCTTCCCCAGATGAGCACTGTTTTTTCTAGTAGGTACAATTTTACAGCGCTGTACATCTACCATCACAGTATTGTCCTTCTAGGTATAGAAGGATTAAGACACAACGGACCCCTGGGCACAGGCATGGGAAAGGCCCCTGCACTTCTTGGAGCAAGATTCATAGACTGAGCAACCACATGATCTGTGATTTGCAGTCGGTCTGTGTCTCCTTGTGGTCATTTTGCATCTGTTATTTAGCCATTCTGTGTATATATGTTCTCATTTTGTATCTCATTGTTGTCATTTGTACCCACTTGTTTTTTGTCTATTTTTTGTTGTTTTGCATCTCTTTGTAGCTTCTATGTATCTCTTTTCATTGTTTTTTTGTCTTTGGTATCAGTTCTTTCTCTTTTTAGTAGTTTTGAATCTTTTTTTTTTAGTTGTTTTGCATCTCTTTTTGTGGATTTTTTTTAGTCCCTTCATGCCTTTCTGGTTTAGGGCCCCCCTAAGCCTCTGGCCCCCTGGTAGGCCTGTTCAGTAATCCATCTATGGTTGTAGGTAACAATTCACTTAGATATTAACCGGATAACTAATAAGTGATTTCTCACCTTGTTAGCATCAATTTTGCACAGATTTAAAAAACAAAAACTACAATGTCTTGATTAAATGTTGAAGGAAAAAGTAAAGTGTTGAAAAAAAATCTCCTCCATGTTTTTTCACAAGAAGCTGACATTTTGCAGATCCACCGCTGTGAGTGTGAACTGCTCTGGGGTCTTTACCGTCCATCGGCACAGACAGAACACCATAAACAAGCTGCTCACTTATGTTAGTGTATATCTGTGTCCTCTGAGGCTGCCCAGGCTTTAAAAAAACAGAGCTGTCATGTAGAACATGAGGGGGGTTGTTTTTCCATTTACATCACATGAAGTTATTCTGGGCTGAGAGTCAGTCAAATATCTTCTGAAATCAGAAAATGCATAAATCTGCATCTGGCTCTCCTCCTCCGCTGCTACTTCCTACTGTAGATGTGATTTCTCTTGATGATCAGTTCTCCATCTGCTAGTTCATCTCTTGTTGAGGACATGAGGCTTTAGCTTTTTTGCCATGCTTAAGATTTAAAAGTTGAAGCAGTTGTTAGTTCAAAGCCTAAAGTGTAAACTTAGAATTCAACCTTAGGTGGTACACTAAGATTTGGCTTTGTATTTTGGCCTCGAGTTGTCACAGGAGACTTTTTCCATTGGAAAACACTATCAGGCAGTAACAAAATGTTGTGTTAACAGTCAAGAGGCCTGAGCATCACTGTCAATTTTCATCCACATTCGAAGACTGGTGGGGGATCATTTCCTTCCATAAGTACAGCTTACATGAGCCAAGTGAGAAAACTACCACTTTTATTTCCTCACTTGCCAAGAAACTCAGAGGGGAAGGAGATGTGATGGCAAAATATCGAGTGTAACTGCAAGAAGTTGTGGATTTGACCTTTGGCAAACACACAGTTGAAAAATTATTTAAAACTTGAATAGATGGCTGCTTATTGTGAGTATTCCTGAATCAAACATATTAAAATACAGCATGTCATAATATTTTAGAGGATGTTTCTGCTCCCCTGAGCTAACACAAACCCTGATGACCCTGACTAAGATTTTGGTTTTACGCCTGGAGTGGATTTGCTTCACTTCTACCCTAAAGCAGCATCACCTACAAAAATCTACCATGTAGACCTCTTAGGTCATCCAGTCAACTGCTCCGACAGGTTCCCACATCCAGACTTCAGTACTGTGGTGACCGGGCATTTGCGGCGGAGCAGCCTTCTGCATGAGCTTCGCTCCACTTCGGACCCGACTGCCTTCTACTCACTTTTGAAAACCTATTTATTTAGGCAGATGTTTATCACTGACTCCGGTTAGGACATTTATCTGTTTCTCTCTCTCTCGGTTTTTATTGAGTTTTTGTATCTGTTGTCTGAATTATTGTATTGAAGGTTTATATTGTATGTAGATGTTATTGTATTTATTATTGTGGCTGCCTGGTTGTTATTTTCCTCTTCTTTGTAACTCTAGTTTAGAAAAGTGCTATTTAGTCATTATTTATGAGCAGCAACATTCGAATGTGAGACACATTTATACACTGGCAAGGACTGAGACTGAGCATCTGTCAATCTGAGGACATTTTAAACATCAGTGGGCCTGAGAGGTCAGGGGACCCTTGTCCAGAGCCTCCATAAGCGCTAATGAGGTTAATACTTCTTGGTTGACAATCAGTTAGAAGAACCACAAAGAGACTCAAAACAACTGCAAATAGATGTAACAGATTGTGCCATAGCCCGTCCTCTACCTCTCCAAAAATTTCACCACAATCCATTTTTTACTTTTTGGGTCATGCTGTGAACAAATGGTGGTGAAAACAGAAAAGAGTGAAATGTTGTCTAAGAATTGACATTTTTGATTAAGACAAAAAAAAACTGCCTGGTTTTACACTGACCTGCAAATTTCAGTGAATAAAAATTAGGATTCGTTATAAAACATAATTTTAAAGGACAACTCACCCCGTCTGTCACAATCGGATTTTACCTCAGTATCTGTATTTAAATATTCTTACTGTGACTCCTCTAATCTGTGTGTGTGAGTTAGATAACTTGGACAGCAGCAAAGAGAGAACCAGACATTCGCTGCCACCTACACAGAAAACATCTCTGAGCAGATTTCAGAAGGAGGTGACCTGCCGCTGCTGCTGTTTCTGTAGCACCAAATCAGGCTGAATTTAGAGTGTACAGCTATACAGCATGTTAATAACCATGCTCACAAACATGGTTGGATTTTGGCAAATTCAAATGGTGCATTATAAAATGAACGTCATTTTTGTCTAGTTGCTAGTTGTGGCTCTCGGTTCGCCTCGACACACTGCTGGCACCTGGCTAATCTGCCTGAACCAACTCACAGTCCTGCAAACCCCAAACACACTGATGAGTCAAAATTAACTGGGACAGCAGCACATATGCATTTTATAGGAATAGTTCATTTCCAAAGTGCCATTTAATCATTTTGAACAGAAGAATAGCAATGATGATGTTCAGATTGAATGTGAATTCAGAACATTTCCATATAATTTCTAAACCAGTATCCTCTTAAGGCTAATGTAGGCCAGGTATTGTGGGGCAAATCATCAGGGTTTAGAGCTTAGAAAGACCAACACCAGAGTTTATGGACTCAGCTCAGAGCAGGCAGTCGAGAGTTTAGAGAGAAAAAACCTGGAGATTAAAGATTAAACGAGATCTTAGTAAGACAGAGACCTAAACTTAGACAGCCTACAGCCAAAACTAAGAAAATCCAATACCAAAGCAGACATGACCAGATTTTATAGAGGCACAAACTGGAGCTTTAGATGTCCCAGGCCTGGATGAAAAACCAAGGACATAGTGAAAACAAGTCCATGCCAGGAGCACAGTGCTTTGAGCTAAATGCTAAGGTGTTCACAGTAGCATGCTGATATTTAGCATGTAAATGTTACAGTGTTCACCAGCTTACTTTGGCATGTTTGCCTGATAAAACTGGCTAATTATGACCAAACACAAGCAGCTGAAGCTAATGGGAATTAGCAGGTCTAAGACCAGTGCTTGGAAAGACCTTAACTGTATAATAAAATGACCCAGACTAGAGCATAGAAAGACCAGGATCTGGGTTTTGAAGAGGGCAATGCCAGAGATTAGCAGACTAATAATTTCAGAAAGACTAATTAGAAACTACAGTGGCTTTACTGTCTAAACAGCTTTTGCCATGATCATCAAAGAGACTGCTCTGAAATCTTAAAGCCTCTGTTGACTCAACACAACCTTACCAACCTCAAACAGTAAACTGGGTTTGACACAGGAGAAGGACTGAATACCACACAGTTGTGTATGTTCCCTGTCTCAGAGATGCACAATAGGTTTAAATTTACTTGGATTCACCACAAATAAAGTGGTAGTAGCCTTCACTGAAATGCACTGTTCTTTCCATCAGACAAAAGGTTTTGACAAAAATCTGACAACCTGCTCTAAAAAAGAAAGCAGCAACACAACAGCACATTCAAACATTCATGGAGTTTTAAACATGTTAACATTCAAAGCTATGCATGCTCAGCAGAAACATGACACTCTGCATTTTGGATGGTGAAGAGGAAGAAAGAAGGATAATCATCAAGGAGAGCACCGACAAAACACAAGATCCCTTTCACAGCCACCCACAGAACCGACTTGTGCAGTCCTGGGAACAGAAACCGGAGCCGACAACAAACAAGTGCAATTACAAAGAGTTTAATCCCAAAAATACTTTTTCCATTTTGGCATGTAGTACATCGTTTGGTCTTGCTGCACCTTGGCTGTAACACTACACGGTGTCATTTACACTGTCTGAAGTATAGTAGCTGTCATGCAACGTTGAACACAGCTTGACTGATCTCTGCAAAAAGGGGATGCCACGTTCACACAAACTGCAAAAGCATAACATTCATGTCTGTCTCTGGTGGTAGTCACAATTAAGACCAAGTTACCAAATGTTCAAAACACAATCAGCTCTATTTAAAACCTGGAGTAACGTGTTTTAAAATCAAGCTGCAGCAATAAGATTTCATCCCGTTTCTTCTGTTTTGATGTGAACGAGGCATATGACAACAGTCCTTGTGAGACATTCAACAGTCCTGCCAGTTAAGACCAAAGACAGTCTGAGTGTTGTGCTAACTCTGTGAGGGTTGGGGGCTAAATTTGATTTAAAAAACCTCTGGCACACAGCACATTTTGGTTTATCATTCAACTAGAGGAACCATTAATAATTAAATAAATCATTAAGAGGAAAACTCATTGTTAGGAGCAGCTGAACAGGTTCCAGCCTGTTGCTTTGTATAACACTTTGTGCCACGTCTTTCTGTCCTGTCACTGCCGGCAGGTCGATGCGGTCTGGGACGCACTATAACACCTTTTCACTACTCTGAGGAACAGCTGATACACAAAAAATAAGAACACTGAGCTTTTAAATCAACTGTGTGTTAGATATCAAACAGATTTTGAGTTTGTCTGTGGATGTGTCTCAAATCTTTCACTTGTCATGGTGTAGTTTTATTAGCTGCAGAAGAAGAAATACATGTACCAGACACAGGCTATCTCAAATAAATAAAAACAGTGAATTTTTGTGGACTGTGAGGACTGAAACAATTAACTGATAAATCGTTAAGTCAGCTTCAAAACAGAGTAAAGGTTCAGGCTTTTCTTCCACAGACACTTTAGATTGATATTTCCACTTGTAAATTTTGGATCTTATCATGACTGTATGAAAAATATTTTGCTCTGGTTTGTAGATCAGCAGCTATTTGACAACCAGTTAATTGTTTAAGTTACTTCTCAAGTGTCAAATGTGATGAGGAAATGCTATTTGAAGAGAGCTGGGAATTTGTCATGGGCATTTTTCACTATTTTTGGACAACTGGTTATCAAAATAATTGATGGTATAAGAAATCATCAACAGATTAAAGGATCAGACATTAAACGCCTGTCTTGATCCTGTAAAAGCTTGGTGGACTGTAGAAACACCAGGAACAAGTCCAGTTGTTTTGGGTTTTCTTCACTAACAAAGTCTGGCATATTTTTTTAAACATCAATAAACCAGGCCAAAGCCATTGTTAGTGTTCATAAGTGTTGCTATATCCCTGACCCTAAAAATCTACTAGCAACCATTCTGGCTACAGGTACATGATTTATGTGCTCACTACAAGTATTTGGCAGAACATCAGTACAGCAGGAGATTAACTGAAGGCCCCAACTCTCTATAGCAAATATATGAAGCTGTAAACTAACATATGGTAACGTTTGTTAGCAACTAGCTGCTACTGCTTTTGGAAGAAAGTTGGCCTTGCTGCACCCAGGCTAAATGAGAAACCAAGAGCTACACGTATAGTTGAACAATGCTGTGGTAAATTCAATAAAAACGGTCCAAATGAATCGGACGAAGCAGTAAGCTCTCCTGAGTTGTGTAAAAACAATATCAGCTGTTCACAGAGGTGGATTCTGGGACTGTTGATATGGCTTCCAGGGGAGGTGTACTCAAAGATGGTTCTCTGAAGAAGACACACTGCACATGCAAAACAATAAACGGTCAGGTGAGTTTCATCTTAAACCACTGCAGTTTGGCAAATTTCTCTCAGAAACAGCTTGTTTCTACAAAGACAGTGCCGAACCCAGTGCATCATAAAAGACATATTTTGAAGATTTACCTTACTGTCTGCTCAGCAACAATGCCCCAAAAGCTGGATTCTGAAAAAGGGTTCTTATAGAGTTGAGACTCCAGTGAGCTAGTTGATTAATAAGACTTACACAGTGGAGGATGGAAGTATGACAGTGTTGTGTCTTCACAGGGGAATCATCTTTGGCATCACATCATCGTGCAGCTTTAAACACCAGCAGTGCATCAGGGCATCCCTAATCACATTTACAACTGTGCACAGCACAACACAGCAGTGAGCCCTGTCAGTAGATCCATACACTTTGAAAACATCGCTATAATGCAGACATCCCTATTGAAACGATCCTATTAATATTCCTACATCAGGGACTCTCTCACAGAGAGCGCCAATATCAGCCTGTAAAGAGAGTTCAAACATTAGCATTTTCCCATCAACTCAAGACTATTATGGTTATTCTGAGTTTCTTGAATCCATGATTTTGTCATTCGATCACCTAGTTGCTCTCTGTGAATACAAGAGTTGATAAATGAAGTTTCATCTCGTCTATCTTCATTCATTCCCACAGGAATGAATGAATCCTAATGACTATGTATTTTTAGTTCATGTGGCATCACTATAAATATATTTCCATCATATATCCATATAGTTCTGTTGTGATCAATAATGACAGCTATGCTTGTTTGTGTTTTTATCTGCTACTGCTCACTGTAAAATTATTCCATAATATTTCTATAGTAGGGATTTATCATAGCTATTTATCTCCATTATCCAGCTCAAATCAGCCATCACTGTCTCTTCTTCTTCTGCTTCAGTGACTTCCTCCTCTTCAGTATCATCTCATACAACTTGTCCATGCCCTCATCCAGTCCCTCTCCTATGATGGCGCAGGCCGGCTGGACGTGATATGGCGTGGAGGGGCTCAGCTCGGCCAGGGCCAGCTGCCTCTCGATCTCCCCGACATCCAGCGCCCGGGGCAGGTCCTGCTTGTTGGCGATAACCAGCAGGGGGGTCCCCTGGTTCTCCGAGAACCGGGTGATCTTGTGCAGCTCGGTCCGGGCTTCCTCCAGCCTCTCGGCGTCCACGGAGTCCACCACGTACACGATTCCATCCGTGCACCGGCTGTAGGGTTTCCACAGGGGCCGCAGCTTCTCCTGTCCCCCGACGTCCCAGAAGTGGCAGCTGATGCCCCTGGAGGCCCCCGCGCCGCCCAGCCGGATCTTCTCCGTGTTGAAACCGATGGTGGGCACCGTGTTGACGAACTCGTTGAATTTCAGCCTGTACAGCACGGTGGTTTTGCCCGCAGAGTCCAAGCCGAGCATGACTATGTGCAAGGACTGGAAAGCGGCCAAATTAGAAAAACTATTCCCCATCTTGGAGCCTGGGAAGGAGGAACAGCGTGCACACCCACAGTCCCAGGAGCGAGCGATATGATGGCAGGAGGTACTTAAATGTCCGAGTCGCGAGCCATAGCGCGTTATTCCCCTGGTGAGATTCAAAGCACAAGGTCGCGAACGGGCAGAAAACGCGCAAAAACCCGAGCCTCAGCCGTTCAGCAGACTTGGAGGGCGCAGCCCCACGTTGTGCGGCGGCACTCCGAGAGCCAGACAAGCCGCAGCATCCCTGGACTCCCTCCAAGAGCATCCAGAAACAGTCAAATCATCACATACAGCGGCGCGCTCACAGTGCGCACCCCTCTCCAAATGCGCAAATTACACGTGGCCGAATGTCACATCGCGGCTCTGCATCTGTGTATGTCTCCAACTGCTTTGCATGTAGTAACACACACATACACAAGTGATGCTTTTGTGACGCGTGGACCAGCCTCTAAACGTTGGCATATAGCGATGCGTCAAGTTACATGAGGAAAAGTATTTTCCGGTTCGGGGAAAAAGCTAATATACGGCGATCAGGTCGAAGGGGATCTTATTTTGAAAGGTATTCTATTGAATTGTTGCTGCAGTATTTCCTCTGCGCACTGAGCAACCTGCGCTGCAGAATTCTGACACCGGGTGGTGACATGTGGGAACAACGTTTCCAACACTGTTCCTACAACTAGGAGTCAAATAAATATATAGCAAAACACGTGACTGCGATGTTATATTTTCATAATAAAAATATAAACAAGTAATGTGGATTAACATGTGCACTGTCTATAAAAAATAACGTGTCTTTTTGTCACGTTTCATCTCATATTTCGCTAAATATAAAGCTGATTGTTTGCTGTCTGTCTGTTCTTGTGCCGTTGTTCCATCAGTTACAGGTGTGAAGGCTCTTGAAGTTGGGGCTATATGTTATTTTTCATAAAACCGGTGTCTGTTTTTGCTCTTTGTGTATGAAAGAATTTGTTCTGCTCATGTTTTTCTACTATGTTTGGGTTTTGTTCTGCTGTTCTGGACACCTGCAGATAGTAATTATATTCTAAAACAGTTTTTAGAAAAAAACATTAAAACACTTTCCTTAAAAGACTTGTGTTACTTCTCACTCAGATTCTTTCAGGATCCAGTAAAAGACCAGATCTGGCTCTGTAACAATACAGTTTATAATGTAAAATAAACAAGATTATTTGTAGAATAAAATACCTGTCTACATCAAGAAACAAGGCAAGGAAACGAATGATAGTGATTTGAATTAAGCATTATTACATGGTGAAAGCCATACATGATCTCTCAGGTCTTATAACGTGAGCCGCGTGGTCATGTGAGATGTCGACCAGTAGGTGGCAGCACAACATTTTACTACAGGGAGAGACTTTTTTCCACACTGTTGACAGTGAACTGGATTTTGCTGTGAATTTTATCTGCTCTACATATTGATTACACCTCCGTCTATCCTGAAAGAGGGCTCAAGGTCCTTATGTTACATAGAATACAAACACCTTAAGACAAATGTGTGATTTAGGGGTGTACAAATAAAATTATCTTGACTTGAATGTACCTTAAACAAACCTAACACCTACACTATCATAAATATGGCTTGTCATGACCCAAGCCACATGGAAATGTATTGTGACGTCTTTGCCAAAACTTAAAAAGAATAAACCATGACATTAAAATTATCATTTATTTTCACTAGAGGGCCTAGTAAGCTAGCATTAGCTGGCTAACAGTAAAAGTGTCAGGCCAGTAAAATGCTCTGGTTACTGCTAATGTGAGACAAAGCACTAACGTTAAGCAAAATTTAAATTACTCACAAATTTAAATAATATTAATTCAATACAAGGGAACAATCATGATCATGCTACCAAAACAAACACGTTAGCAGAAGCAGGCCTAATAGAAGGAAGAACACCCAGCCTGACTCAAATCTGAGTCCTTTGGTGGCTTTTAGCGCTCTCCATCTTAAAAAGCCATTTTATTCAGACAAGATGGAAAATTTTAGTTGATACACCTTTAAAGTTTGACTGCAACAAACGCAGCAAACAGATTTCTACGTGTTTTAATTGGTGTTTCTTAATGATTTTCTGCTGCAGTTTGATTCTCATGTGATGGTACGCTGTCACCTCATATTTACGGTCCACTACATTTCAGCAGGTTTCAGTGCCCTAGCAGCCAGAGTAAATGGAGAGCTGCCATTTTTATAAGCTGGGTCACCTCAACTAATTCACAGTAAAACTCTCCACAAAAAACTTATCAGCCTGAACAGATGGAAACAAACAGCTGTGTACATGCAGGGCTTAAAAAAAAACATTAGCAGAAGTAGTACAGAGGTGAGGAAAAGGGAAAAGCCATTCCCTAAACACACACAAGTTCACACACACAGCGACACAACCTGAGTCATCAAAACTGCACTAATTGTCCCCTGTGCCCTTGTCCCTCATTGATCAATAAGTGTGTGTGATCAATGAAACAGATTATAAACAATACATGCGCAAACCGCACACACAAACACACACCACAACCAACTCTAATTGCACTCCCCTCTCTCTCTAACAAGGTTGAGTCACCTGAAGGTCTCTCGCCCAACACCCACACATCCATAGAACAATGATTGTTTTCCTTTGTATTGGATTATTTTTAATTTACTGCATTTTTATATCCTATATTAAATGTGGGGAAATTTATCACTGCACTACAACTTTATTCACCTATTTGTTTGTTCATTTATCTTTACTTTTTCCTCTTTGCCTTCCTTGCACTCGTTAAAACCATTTTATGAACTCAGTTTGCAATTTGTTAAAATGTGAAGTGACTCTGAGGATGCTACCATACAGATTTCACAGCTCTGAGTGGCTGGTTGCTGTTCTATCAAACAAATAAACAAGTTCCATCAGTCAAATAGTCCAGCTAACATTTACATTGGAAACAAAGAGCTTATAAAAGTGATACTAGTTCCTTGGGAGCTGATGCTACAAAGAAAGTCAGTGAGTTTCTTTGTTTTTTAGATACCAAACAAATGACTCATACAGCGTCAATAATGTTACTCCACAAAGGGATCATGTAATAACAGCAAGACATGAACTTGAAATTTTCACCAGGTGGTCCCATAAAGAAGATAGTTAACACTGCAGCCTTAAGAATCATCAGGTTTCTTCTCCCTGCAGTTCCAAAACTCTGGCGGTGCTGAAGGAGCGAGACGTGAGAAGAAGCAAATGAAGGAGTTTTATTTTTATCTTTCAAGGGCTCTTTACATTTTACAGACCCATGAGGTGAAACCAGCCTGGCCTGTTTTCACACACGTCCTCCAAATCCTCCTGAAAACAGCAGCAGATGAAACAGGCTGACTGCTTGTCCCCAGGCTTTTCATCTCGCCACCTGCTTTGCATTTTGAACAGCAGCGCTGAGCTGTCCAATTTGTCCAGAATTAATGAAGGGAAAACTGGCAGGAAAATTACTGTTTTCCTTTCACTTAGACTCTTAGATTAGGAGAATAAGACCTGTCATCATGTGATTATAGACAGAATTAGGTAATAAGGGTGTTTTACAGTGGGAGTTTGGGGCACAGACTGTTAACATTTACATTTTTGAACATGGTGTTTCCACCACATGTAGCTTATCAACTTCAAAAGTTGTCAGGTAAGAACAGTCTGCTCTGCTTTTATATCCCCAGAGAAAACAGGATGAGATTTTGGAAATGAATCTGCTTTTATTTCCTTCCTAACTGAGTTTAGCTATGTATAGATAATCTGTACTGTATTATTACTTAAAGAATATTGTGTATGACTTCTGATTTACACAGCAACTGTGGGTGCTATATCAGGGTACTTAAATCAGTGTATTTGCAGTAATAATGTACCAGTGTGCAATCAGTGTGATGATGTGAAAGGGGTCTCTTGTGAATTATCAGCTCAATCTAGAGTTCCCCTTGGCTTGGTACAGAGCTATAT